GCAGCTATCAAACCACTGATAAAATCACTACTGCAGAACTACAGGCTGACCTCTGACCTCTGACTCATCAGCAAAGTTACTGAAAAAGCTTCAACAGTTAAATAACTTCCTAACGATAACCAGTCGCTTTGACTGCTTCCAGTCTGGTTTCCATGGTTACCACAGCATGAACACTGGCCTCAGTGGCGCAAAAAGTGGGTATGCAGCGCATGCAACGCATAGGGGCGCTGCACCAGAGGGGGCGTCAAAACCCCGTCTGGAGGGGCGGCGCCCCGATGATGCCTTCGCATACACTTCACCGCGTCCTAACGCTCCTTCACCTCGCACACATGTAAATGTAAATGTAGCGAGTTTTACCTTTCACGTGTCTTCGTCTTGGGGGGGCGGCGACTGTATGTTTTCGCATCCACCTGAATAATATGTAGTTGCGCCCCTGACTGGCCTAGTCAAAGTGTTCAATGACATCCATATAAATACGAACTGTGGGAGAACCACAGTGCTGGTTCTGGTTCTGTTGGACCTCACTGTTGATCAGGACATTTTACTGAATCGACCGGAGAGTTGGGTCGGACTCTCCGGTCCAGAACTCAACTGGTTTGAATCTTACATAAAGAAGAGAGATTACTTTGTTTCAGTTGGAAACTTCTCATCGGAGAGGTCAAAGGTCACATGTGGGGAACCCCAAGGTTCAATCCTAGGACCCTCCTATTCAATATCTACATGCTCCCACTGGCTCAGGTTATAACAGGAAATAAGATCAGCTACCATAACTATGATACATAGCTCTACATTATGATGTCACCAGGTGACCTTTGACCCCATCCAATCACTGAATAGATGCTGAGAACAGAGAAATGTGAGGATGAGACAAAACTTTGTCCAGCTGAACAGAAACAAAACTGAAGTTATTATCTTTGGATCTAAAGAGGAGCGATCTAGAGTTATAGATCTACAGTTACAGATCTAGAGATATAGATCTAGTTACAGATCTACAGTTCTAGATCTAGAGTTACAGATCTAGTTATACATCCAGAGTTACAAATCTGGAGTTATAGATCTAGTTACAGATCTAGAGTTATAGTTCTGGAGTTACAGGTCTGGAGTTATAGATCTA